TAAAAATAAATAAATAATTTAAAAAAAAAGAAGAAGAAGCAAAGGCCAAGGAACCTCAGCAGCAGGTGACTGTGGAAACTGCCCTTCCAACCACACTATGGCTGAAGCTCTGCCTGGAGCCTGCACTTGATCGCCAGGGGCAGGGGCTGATGTGTGCTTGCAATTCCCAGGCACAGTGCACGCAAAACAGGGCACAAGGGGCCTTGTGCCCTGGTCTCCACCCTTGACCAGCACCCACACGGCTCAGAAATGTCTAACAGCCAGTGGATTCACTGGCCTTGAAACCCTGCCAGTCCACATATCAATGATCAGCCTTTATTTTGAGGACAGATCTGTCAAGATGAAAAACTTCACTTTAAAATAAGGCTATAGGGTCAGCCTGATAGCTCAGCAGACTAAAGCACCTGTTTAGGCAGTGCGTGGTGGTTCTATCCCCGGGCCTGCTGTGCTGGCCCTGCCCACAGGGTGTGCTGAGAAGCAACGGAGACTGGGCATGGTGGTGTGTTATCTGTAATCCCAGCACTTGGGAGGCTGAAAACCGAATCACTATGAGTCCGATCTATGTAGTGAGACCCCGTAGACCCTGTCCTAAATACAGAAAAATAAAATAGAATAAGGCTTTCTTACAGGGCCTACTTTGGGTAGAAAATGATAAGAACTGAAACTTCCAAAATCTGTTGAGTTTTTAATTATTATTTTTGCAGTGCTAGGTATGAAAAACGGAAAGAACATCTGAACATTACAGCCGGTGATTGGCAATGATGTAGTCACAAATTTTGTTTGCAAAGGAAAGTATATATCATATAAATAAGAAGCCTTTAGTTTCTTTTGTTTATGCTAGGTACTAGAAGAATCCCAGGGAAGGCCTAACAGCTGAGAGCAAACATACTTCTGCTCTTCTGCCCCTTTAATGGCTCAAAAACAAGCCTGCTAGGCTGATCTGCAGCTGCTACCTTCAACAATTACCAAAAGCAGTGTCCACACCAAGTCTGCACTCAACAATATAGAAGTGATGGTGCCCAGAAAGTAATACCACATTAAAGGAAAAACTGTCTTCCCTCTGAGTGCAAGCATATCACCTAACCACTGGTTCTCATCCAGCTCTAGAACTGGATGCAATCAATGCAGTTCAGGCTGCCCTTGAGTTCACTTTGTAGCGCATGCTGCTCTCAAACACACAAAGATCCTCCCTGCCTCAGCCTCCCCAGTGCCCAGATTACAGGAGGGTGCCACCACACCCAGCCCACAATGCAATATTCTATATTTTGTAATATAGCAAATTTTATAATAGCTTGACACTTTCTTTGAGAGACAAGGCAACAGCACACCTCGGGTCATAATCATACATGTTACAATGCAGGCCTCCCTCGCTGGAGTGACCAACTTTCAGGGGTCCTAGTCCTTTGCCTGTGTCCACACTGCCTATGTAAAAAGAAAGATCTCTGAATATGAGGTTTCCTTACTGCCCCCAACTCCACTCAAAGCAGAACTTGCATTTCTTGATTCTCTTTCTGGCTTGGCTTTTGCATGATCTTCAAATTTTTGGCAGGAGTAAAAAATTATTTCCATGGTTGAAATGAACTAGCAACCTTAAAATACTTCTTTACCTTGGTTATATCACAAAACTAATCTGGGGATCAAAGCACAAAGACACAATGAGTAAAGATACTCATATTTTACAGAGTATATGGTGCTTGACTATTTTTTTTTTTAAATGAATGCACAAGAACTGCGATTTTTCAGAAGCAAGATGGTATAGTGACTTAAATATGGACTGGGGCTGAAATGCTTGGGTTGAAAGCCAGACTGTTGCCAGTGCTGAAGCTGAAATTTGTCATAGGTGGGAGGGCAGGATAAGGTTGAAAGCAGTCAACCTCACTGACTACTCTGCCTAAAGCCTAAAGCAGTCAAGCTACCTCAACCCTGCCTGGACATTGTGGGCTGTCGCTAGGCAACCTTGTGTCTTGCAACTTTGTAAGATATAAATAAAGGCCCTTACTGTTGTTCTGGGGTCTCACCAACCAGGTAGAGGACCTACCACCTAACCCAGCTCTTGCCTTCTTGTCTATCTTTTCCTCATTCCTGCCTCACTTCTCCCTGAGTACAACAGATCACACTGAGACCAACAGATCCCTACAAGACTCCCTGCTGCCATTGGTGGGACACCTCAGTTTATTATTATTATTATATTATTATTATTTTTGTGGAACCGGGGATTGAACTCAGACCCTTGTGCTTGCCAGGGAAGCACTTATTCCACTGAGCCCTCTCCCTGGCCCTATTATTTTTTTTTAATGTATTTAGTACAAGGTGTACAGGGTCTTGCTATATAGATCTGACTTGTAGTGATTTATCTGTTTTCAGCCTCCCAAGCCCTGGGAATACAGGTGTGCACCACCATGCCCAGTCTCAATTGCCGGCTCAGCATGCCCTGGGGGCAGGAATGGCATAGCACACCGGGGATGGAACCCTGGACCCTGCGCCTGCCAAAGCAGGCGCTTTAGTCTGCTGAGCTATCTAGCCAGCCCAGGACAACTCAGTTTATACCAAAGGGATAAGAACAAAGCCCACTCACAGGCTTGGTCTTGGTCTACAGAGGAAGATAACACACAGGGAAATGTTCACACAACACCTAGTGCAGTAGCTGTTACGAAACATGGCCAATTTCTGTTTCCAGAAATTTCTCACATTGGAAAATTAACTTTGGCTTCTCAACACACGTTAAAGAGCTGCACAGAAATCAGTCAGTTCACAGCTTAGGACAGGTATGCAAAACACTAGTTTTCATACAGTATTAAGTACTTGTCTTAGTTTTCTCTCATTGGTGAGACAAAATGCCTGATACCCAAAATCAAGGAAGGAAAGGTTTATTTAGCTTCCAGTTTGTGAAGGATCAGTCCATAATCAGCTGGCTCCAACGCACAGTGGCATGGCACAGGGGCAACACTTCAAGGTGGCAGAAGACAGCAAAAGCAAAAAGAGCAAAAGAGACAGCAAGTCTGTTTCCCTCCCCTATACTGTAAGCAGGCTACCCCAACCCCCAGGGCAAATACAACACTTATATCATTTCTGTGTGCTCCTCTTGGACAGGATGAGGATATTTACAAAGTGAAGACCCTGACTCCCTGCTGAATCACTTCATTAAACTTCTAAACTTCTCAAGTGAACACAATGTATCAACCATTACAGAACTACACAGTTGCAATGAGCCTAGAACACAATCAATGCTCAGTAATGAGCAAAGAATAGAAAATAAAACTACTCCCAGGAGAGAAGCATTTAAAATACTCTGTCCCATGTACTGTTTCTGCACTGAGGACACATTAGTCTCATAATCAGGGAGGAGAAAAAAGTAAAAAACTAGTGATAAAAGTCAAAATGATTGTGTAAAGAGCTGGAAACAGATCCGCCAGCATGCATCAGCAAAATGAGTCACAGTGGAAAATCGTTTGCTTTTAACTCCACAGTTCTAAAACAATGCCTAGAATCTTGAGCTGGTGGAGGAAAGCCAGGCAGACCACAAGTTGAGCTCAAAGAGAGGAGAAAGGCCAGTACTGGAGTGGTTCCACTGCCTCACACTAGCAAGGGGTCTGGGAGGGCCAAGAATATACACAGACCACTCACTGAGGATCACTTGCTCCATGTTAGCCTGGCACCTAGACAATACTAAAAGAACCAGTTCAGGACTAACATGAGTCAGAGACTAGAACATTTCTATTATGTTTGGCTTAAAATCTGCCACCAATCTTACATCTCATTAGAATCCTGATACTTACATCTCACTAGAATCCTGCAAAGATAAAGAACCAGACATTAGCTAGTTGGCAAAACCTATTTTCATGCTTGGGAGGTTAAACTCCTTTACTTTGCATCCTCTGTCTCGCATGACCACCACTGAAATCTTACTTTTTGGTGGGCTTTGTTTCTTGGGATTTGGTGGTAGGTCCTTTTCATTCTTCCCCAATTGTGCAGAGAGAGAAACTGTAGAAGCAGGTCCTCGAAACACTGGCACTTCCAGGAGCACAGTCTGACAAGAGTCAACAAATGTGGGTGTTTAGAGTGGCACCATTTATAACAGCTACTACTACATACAAATACCATCTATGAATGCTCACATGGCACAGAGACTATTTCAATTTTCATAACATATACATATTATGGAAATTTTGCAAAATACAAAAGTTGCAAAAAGACCCAGGTTCAAGGAGAATTGTTGTGAACATGTGTGTTAATGAGAGATTTCTATACATGTTTTTCAGCCTCCTTTCAAATTACAAAATACTACATGTATTTCTTTTAGTAACAGAAATACTCTGCCATTAAAAGTAATACAAATAAAAAATAAAAATAATACAAATAAATGCTTCTGAAGTGATTAAGTGAAAGACATCTCATATTATGTTGATCCACTCAGCTGACAATCACCAAAGCCTCATTCCTGCTAGATAAAGTAGTACAACGCTCTTGGTGCTACACAGAATAAGAATATGAAAATAACTCATAAACACGTAAAGTTGTAAAAAAAAAAAGGAATAAAGAATGGATATCTGACAATTGGTTCCTTCTTTTATCTACACTTTGAATTAAGATGCAGTGAACTACTGCTTTTAGAGGTGTGTTTTGAGTTTGTAGCTCATTGGCAGAATGCACGTAAGGACCTGGGTTCAATCAATAGAAAACTAAAAAAAGGAAAAGAAGCCAAATAGTTTTTGGCTTCTGTAACAAGAACCATTTTTCAGAATGTTAAATTAGCGAGGTGGCCCCAGGTTTTTGAAGTAGAGAAACCACGCCCCGCCTCCCCACGTCCGGCTGGTTACCAGCTCAGCCCAGGTCTGTAAAGCCCTTCCATTTCGTTAGCTGCATGTGCAGCTGAAAAGCAGCAGAACGTGTCTGGGGGAACCAGCGTGCCCGCTGAGGACACGACCACGTCCTGCAGGAAGCTGCACTGACAAGCGCCAGCCGGCACGTTCCGCCGCACAGGCCGCCTCTCCCGGGCAGGAGGCGGGCGCTCTCTGGCCCGCGCTGGCCTCACAGAGCCCTCCTCCCTCAGGACCCTTCGGGCTCCAGCCGGCTCCTTCTTTACCTTCAGCGCCCCAGCTCGTCCCCGCCACAGTAGAAGGCCAGACGCCATGGCGCAGACGAGGACGAGCCAATGTCGCTTGGCGGAAAGGCCCTTATTGCCGACGCCCGGGGACCCGCCCCTGCAGCAGTGTACACCAATCAGAGGCTGTCAGGGGCGGGGCGGAGCCGAAGGGCCTGCGCGCTGCCCTGAAGCCACGCCCCCGAGCGGACGCGTCTCACCCCCGGCTGCAGCGCTAAGCCCCTCCTCCCGCCCATTCTGACCTTGGGAGGTGCTGTTAGGGCCACCAGAGGTCTGGAGTCAATGGGGAAGTCACAATGTACGGTGTTTAAATTGAAAAAAAAAAAAAACCCACAGTAAAAGACACACTGCCTGCCATGAATCCCCCTTAAAATCGTTGCCCTTGCTTCGAACTTGCTTCTTTTGTTTAGATTTCTGAGATAGGGTCTTAGTATATATTCCAGACTGCTCTTGAGCATTGGGATTACTGGTGTGCGCTCCCACACATGGCCCTTGGAACACACTCATCCCGTGGTCCTGGCCCCTTTCTGCATCAGCTGTTAAGTCCTCTTTCCTGGGTATTTTTACAAGGTGTGGTATAAAAAACTTGCTGCCCAGCGCTGTCAAACAAAAAGGCAGGCTCCTAAGAATGTGACACTGGGGCCTCGTTCAATGGATCTGCCACCATGTGACTTCTGGCTCTTCCCAGAGTCAAAAGAACCAAGAGGAAAACATTTTGAGTCAATTTAGGACATCCAGGCAGCCAGGACAGTGCAATTTATAAAGATACCTAGGAAGTAAGACTTCAGGGCAAGTGGCAAGGATGCGGGATGGGAGTTTGAAGAAGAGTGTTTTGAGGGGGATTCATGGCACTGTCTTTTTTCTTTTAAGCACTCACTGTACTTTTCCATCCCACGTGGTTGTTGGCAGTGGCTCTCTCCTCTCTGTGTCTTGGAGGACAGATTAGAACTTCGACTGGGACACCTCTCTTTGCTATCTTTAGCCTTTCAACCTTAATTTGGAAATCTCCCCGAGAGCCACAGCCCTATAAATCATGCCCTTAACGTTTCTGGCCCTACTTAATGCTTTTCTGAGTGTTGAGGGTTTTCAAACTTGTTGGAACAATATCTTTGGTCCACACTACATGCCCAGCTTCTTTCTGTAGCCACAGCTATGGCATCTGGTCAGATCCTCACCTTGTGTTCTGAGAGTACCAGGACTCACTGGTCATCTGGCAGGTAGATTTATCTTTTTGAGGACCATTGTTCAATGTAGGACAACTACCATGAAACTGATGCAGGTCTGATTTTGCTTTTTTTTTTTTTGAGACTGACTCTCCCTATGCAGCTCAGGTGGCCTTGAGCTTACTTTGTAGCTCAGGATGGTCTCAAACTCACAATGATCCTCCTGCTCAGTCTCCTAACTGCTGGGATTACAGGTGTGCAGCACATTACCTGGCTTATAATTTTGTTTTAAATCCCAGCACCCTAATATTGTGTATATTTCTGTGGTGCCAGTGCATATAAAATTTAAACTCTGCATTTGTACGCCTTGTCTTATTGTTTTAAAGGATTCTTAGCTTCCTAACACCTCATGGGCTATGGGAGAAACAACATGGAAAATAGTTCATGAGTTATTAACGGAAAATGAAAGGTCTATAATCTCTTTAGGTATTTGTGGTAGAACAATCACAAAAGTAGCCATAATTTCCAGGAGATTGTGGAACTTTCTGTAGTACAACAGTAAAAGTATGTATCCTACAGACGGACACTGTATGTGTAGGTACAATTACTACTATAAAGTAAACTAAAACATTTGCCATTAAAAGGCCTGGAAAAGTCATGAACAAATTGGCAGCACAGACTGAAACCATAGTGAGGAAAGTATAGAGGTAGACAAACTGTGTCCATTGGGAAAACAATCACTCTCAGTAATGTCAGAAAAAAAAAAAAAAAAAACACCCACTGATTTGTAGACTTGAACAAAATCGTCTCACATCATAACAGTGAAATTATTCACGGCTGGGTATTAGCTCAGTGCCATAGCATTTTCCTAGAATGTATGAGGTACTTGATTTGAACCCCCGGTATAGCAAAATGCAAAATTATCCTATTTTTTTCTTTTTTTGGTGCTAGGAATTGAACTCAGGACCTTGAGCTTGCCTGGCAGGCACTATACTACAGAGCTATATTCCCAGTCCACATCCTGTTTCTTTTACTTCAACATGTAAAGGCACTACAGGAAAAAGGATGAGCTAAAAAAAAAAGCTTGGCGAGTTTTCAAGCAGTGTTTAGAGTGACACTTAAGAGAACACAGCAAGAGTCCAAACTGGATGTAGCTTGTTCCCAATGAGCACATCTAGATCAATCAAGGTACACTTTGCCTCATTCTTGTAGGTTGCAAAAACTCTTCCCAAGGGACGTTAGAACTGGTATAGGTCAGGGACCCTTTATCATTATTCAGCCCTCTTCATGTTAGTATTTACTGTGGTTAGCCTTCACCATGATAGGTCAGGTGTGTTGGACAATCTATCTTTTTAGTATGTAGGTCTCTGGACCAGGAGGAGCAGCTTCAGAAGAACCACACCCAACTTTGGAAGAGACCATGTGATCCTAGACTTTCAGCTCAATGTGGAATTGAGACAGGCTCTTGGGAGAACTGTCATCATCTCTCTTGGGTCCTTGCTTTAGTAGAAATATAAATTAAAACTAACGCACACATTTTTGGAAAAAATGCCTTAAATGGAAATTTGGAAGGAAGTCAGGAAAGGACTCCCTGCTGGAGAGGAGACACTGATACAGGGGCTCAGCCTAGCCCAACCCTAAAGGTAATAGGCCAGTTTTCAAGGATTTAGGTGGTGAGTGAAGGATCGTTTCCAGGGAAGTCTCTGTAGTGCTTTGTCCTGTGGGGCCCTACCTTTCCTGGAATCCAGTAGCTGAATGTTCTTAGAAACATCTTGTGCTACAGTCTGGAAAGGGAATGAGATCCTGTAAATTCAGGACAAATCAACCCTGTCAGGCCAGCTCCTACACACAGACTCCCTAAATTAACATTCTTCTATGGGGAGGTGAGAAGAGGTCTGACCCAAAACTTGCAGCAACAAAGGATGCAAAATTAAAATCAGGCTTTGTTTTGCTTTTAATAACTTTTTGGACATCCATAATCCTGCGTGAAGAGTCCTAGTTCATGCCAAAAATGGCTTTTCCTCTTCCTCCTCCTCTTCCTCCTCCTCCTCCTCCTCCTCTTCCTCCTCCTCTTCCTCTTCTTCTTCTTTTTTTTTTTGAGACAGGGTTTTGCTATGTAGTTCAGGCTGGCCCCGCTCTCATTTTGTAGCCCAGGCTGATCTCGAACTCGCAAACCATCCGCTTCAGCCTCCCGAGTGCTGAGATTACAGGCGTGTACTACCACGCTTGGCGCCGAGAACCACTTCTTGAAGGTATTTGTCAATACCAAGTGGGTACGAGAGGCTCTGTCTAGAACGAAGTCCCAGAGATGGCGCTGCCCAGTCTTGAAAGGAGGAGGAACACAGGCAGCCCATTTCGTGTGACGTATATCCCACGCAAACCTCCCAGACCCGGACTATCTCCCAGAGCGCGGAGACCGCACCTTCTGCGCGTGCGCACGTCGGATTTAAGTACGTCACCTCGCATCGTCTGCGCGTGACGTCAGTAACGTGTGCCGTTCTGAAGAGGCGCGGAGCAGTGCACGTGGATGGTGTAACTGAGGGAGGGTTCATGGCTAGTTCCGTGGGTCTGGCGTTGTGCGGGCAGGCGCTGGTTGTGCGGGGCGGCAGCCGATTCCTGGCCACGTCCACTGCGAGCAGGTGAGGGGGCCCAGGGCTGGGAGTTGCAGGGCGCGTCGGCCCCGTAGACCCCGCTTCCGCACTGCCAGGGTGCTCCGGGAAATCAGCAGTCAGTTCGCCACCCGCTCTGGCCCCGCATCGAGGTGAGGCTGCTCTTTCCTTGAACTGCAAGCCTGCGGCCCTCTCGCTACGACAGTGACGGGACCTTTGTGGACTTCCGGGCTCTGCAGTGGCTGCGCGGCGACCGTGTGGGCCGCCGGGTTACCAGGGGTGATTGGTCAGCCCAGCTTCGGGCGTCGCGGAGGAGACGAGCTTACTGTCAGCCTGCTCCCCCGCGTCCTCTTTGTTCTTCTGGTGGCGTTTGCCCCTCCACCCACACGGTTCTAGCGCTGGTGTAGTAAGAGGATTCCGTGCTTAAGATGCGCTCTGGGACCGCGACGCTTGCCTCCCTAGTACACTCGACGCTGTCTTCGCTTTCTATAATTTCACTTTCTTGTCTAAGTGTATCCCCAGGGCTTGGACAGCACCCCGGGTTCTTAAATTAGTATTTATTAATCGAGTACGCTTGATTAACGAACCTGGATGCGGGGGCAATTAGTGGTAGCCAGTTTCTGCCGCTTGTGTTTACTTTTCCAGGGTAGTTTTTTTTTCTTCCCCAGGGTAGTTTTGATTCTAAGTGGAAAACGTGTGTTAAACGGATAAACGTACACCGTACAATTTGTCGGATGTTAAGTACGGATCTCACAATTTACTAACCTGTCACATATACTAGATTGCTTTGTTTTAGAGACATAAAGCCCTCAGTAGCCCCCAGTACATGTCGCAGTGAACCAGTTGGGTACATTGAGACACCATCTGCTTGCCTCAGTCTGTTTTTGTCGTAACTGGGCTAGCAAAGACTTCTCTCTCTCTCCACAATTTCAGCGATCCCAGTGAAAAGCCTTTTAGGTGTAATCACTTTTAAAGCCAACAGCAACCAATGATGGACAAACCTTTTAGAGCTTTCATTGATAGAAACAACTGACTTCCACACATGTGCCATCGGCTCCCCACCACTGATATGTACAAGATAGCTTCCATGTGCCTAGGGGGTACGATAAACAGGATATCTTAGGGCGCAGTGTCTTAGGTGGCAAACCTATGTCATGTGTGCTGCAGCAGGTTGTGTCATTGAATAATCTAAGAAGTTCGCCATCGCTGGTTTGGGTTCTTACAGAGAAAATGGTCGCTGGAGCTTTTTCAGGTAGATAGGGCATCTTTCTGAACCAGTAATGGTGTTAAATTGGGATGCAGAGCTGGGTGTAGTGACTTTTGCCTGTTATTCCAGCACTCTTGGGAGGCTGAGGTAGGAGGATTTCTGGGAGTTTGAGGCAAGCCTGGGCTACATAATGAGTTTAAGACCAGCCAGAAATGAGACCCTGTCTCAAAAAAAAAAAAAAAAAAAAAAAAAAAAAAAAAATTTTGAATGCAGAATCTATAGAAAACTCAACAGTATTGACATATTGTCTTATAACCATGATGTATTTGTTTTTAGTACTTGAAAGAATTAATTCTATTTAAGTATTTTGTTTTATTGAACAGGTTTTCTTTCTTTCTTTCTTTCTTTTTTAAGACAATGTCTTACTATGTAGTGTAGGCTAGCCTCAAACTCTCAGTAACCCTCCTGTCTCAGCCTCTTGTGCTGGGGTTACAGGCATGTGCCACTATGCCTGGCTGAACTGATTTTCTTTGGAGAGAACCATGCTGATTGTATCCAAATAGTTTAGTGAATAAAGGTCATTAACTCTTTTCTAAAATACTGTACTCAGGTTTCTTTTTTGTCATGGGTAACACCAGTAATTTTAACAAGTATATAGATGTTTTGTTCCAAGGAAAAAAGAAACCAGTGTTTTTGTTAATAAAGTGTTCATTTTGTTGTTTCCCTTTTAGTGATGATGGCAGCCTCTTCACATATGATTGCAGTGCTGCAGAAAAGAAGGTGCAAGAGAATAAAGGGTGAGACTGCAGGAGGCACCAACGGGGGCCTCAGGGTTTGAGCGATGGGATTGGGGTGGTGGTGGATAGAGGAAATAATTGCTTTGATGAATTCTTAATTTCTGTCACCCATGGTGAGGATAACTAAAATCTACCTCAGGAAAGAAACATGAAAGTACGGTAGCCTTCAAGTTAGGGACTGAGAATATTTAGCACATTTCCATATCATTTAGTTTCTGTCAGTAACCATCTTTGGTTTTTTTTTTTGTTTGTTTGTTTGTTTGTTTTTTTGGCGGAACTGGGGATTGAACTCAAACCCTTGCGCTTGCCAGGCAAGCGCTTATACTACCGAGCCAGCTCCCCAGCCACCATCCTTGGCTTCTTGAGGTAATAGTGAACATTTATGGTACATTAAAGTTAGGTGTAACTTTTATTTATTTATTTATATGTATTTTAGTACAGAGTCTACAGAGTCTCATTACATAGATGGGACTCATAGTGATCCTCCTGTTTTCAGCCTCCCAACCACTGGGATTACAGGCGCGCGCCACCATGCCCAGTCTCAGTTGCTCTCTCAGTGCACTCAGGGGTGGGACTGGCAGGGCACGCGGGGGATCGAACCCCAGTCTTTGTGCCTGCCTAAGCAGGCGCTTTAGTCTGCTGAGCTATCTGACCAGCCCCTAGGTGTAACTTTAGATAATTGAAAGATAAAAGCAAAATGTGGGGATTTCATATGTTGGCTTTCTTTAGTATATTTGGTCTTTTGGCTCTGTCCCATTTTTATCTCTGATATGATTTGATCCCTGCCTATGATCTTGGATTAGTTATTTCCATGATGGGTGGGCTGTATGATCTTTCAGGTCTCTGTATAGTGCATTGGATTCCTGTGTGTTTGGTGGCATCCTCTGTTTAGTTAGGTTTTACCTTTATGAAGTTAGAGCTACTTTTTTTTGGTACTGGGGATTGGATGTAGGACCTTGTGCTTGCCAGGCAAGTACTTATGCTGCTGAGCTATCTCCCCGGCCAGAGCTACTTTAAAAAAATTTTTTTTTTTTTATGTATTTTTTACAGGGTCTCACTACGCAGCTCAGACTCAGTGATCCTCTTGTTTTCATCCTCTCTAGTGCTGGGATTAGGGCAGTCTCAGTGGCTGGCTCAGTGTGCCCACGGGCGGGGCCAGCACGACATGTGATGCCAGGGATCGAAACCTGGTCCCTGCACTTGCCTAAGCAGGCACTTAGTCTGCTGTCTCGCCGGCCATCAGAGCTTTGTTAACCTAGCATCTAATGTCTTTATATTCTGGCTTACATGGACTGCTTACCTCTTTTCCGCTTTTACTCACTGCACTGACAAGGCTAGTCATTGAGGAACAAAGCCATTCTTCCTCAAGTGAGGCCTCATTATTCCCCCTCTCTCTTTCCTAGGGAGGACGGACAGCCCATTGACCAGGGGAGTGACACGATTCTGGCGTCCACCTTCTCCAAGTCTGGCAGCTATTTTGCTTTAACTGATGACAGTAAGCGTCTGATTCTTTTCAGTACAAAACCATGGCAATGTCTGAGTGTCAGGTATGAAATGCTAACACTGAATCATTAAGATGTCCTGTGCACACCTTGTGCTTGCATGTCAGTAGCAATAGTGACAGCAGCCATAGTGATAAGCAACTAACATAAGTCCCAGCTAGGTATTGGAAATAGATTCCAGCACTGTATGTGTATTAACTAATTGAGTGCTCCTACCAGCCAGTGAGGGTGGCAGGGCCTTGTTTTTGCCCACGTTTGGGGGCAGTGTCTGGCTCAGGCCAGTCTGCTTAAGAGTGGCAGAGCTGTGCACACTTCTTTCTGTGTGCTTGCAGAGAACGGGAGCCGGGTGTCAAGGGGAGGTTGGTAATATAGACAGTAGCAGCAGTGCTCTGGGCCTGTGTTCCCCTTACCCAGTGCTGTCTTATAAATGTTCTGCTCCCTGTTTCCTTTTTCTCCTCCCCTGCCCTCCCCTCCTTCCTCCCAGGGGTTGGACTTGGGTCCCTGTGCTGAGCTATATCCCTAACCCTTCTTTATTTTTTATTTTGTGACAAGTTCATGTGAAGTTGACCAGACTGGCTCCCCCACACCCTCCCGGCTTTTTTTTTCCCCCCTGGTCTTTTTGAGACAGGTTTTTGCCATGTAGTTCAGGCTGGCCCTAAGCTTACTTAGCCCAAGCTGCTTTCGAGCTCCTAGTGATCATCCTGCCTCAGCCTCCTGGGTGTGAGAATTACAAGCATACACCACCATACTGGTGCCTCAGGCTGTTCTTATACTATAAACCTGCTTCCAGAGTAGCTGGGATTATAGGTTTGAAACCTCACGCCTATCCAGATTTGCATTTTTGTTGGCTTTGATAATCTTATACATGTGTTAGTGATATGAGTCATGGAGTTGTTTTCTTTTTGGTATTGGGACTTGAACACATGACCTTGCACTTGCAGGCAGGTGTTATGCTGCTGAGCTACATTCCCAACCCCCATCATGGGGGTCTGATTGTTTTGTGATATTGAAGTAGATACACAGCAAGATTCTGTTGGGGAGGGAAAAAAAAAAAAGATCCTGTTGAGGACCGTCATCTCTCCTCCCTGAAGCTTAGCTATTTCTTGACAATCAGTGATAAACATAGCAGTCACAATGCTTGAACTACTGAGGTTAAGCAGTTTTTCTTTGCAACTGGCTCATACCATGTTGGATTCAGCTGAGCTTTGTAGTCTTGTTATTTCGTCCTCTTCTCTTTAATTTAATTTTTTTGTGGAACCGGGGATTGAACTCAGGCCCTTGAGCTTGCCAGGGAAGCGCTTATTCTACTGAGCCATCTCTCCGGCCCTCAGGCCCTCATCTTGTTTTCTAAGAGAATAAACAGCCAAATCTCATGTGGCATTAGAAGCAAGAGGACTCACAGTGCGCTTTCTTCTATTCACATTCAGAGTAAAGCCTTACAGTATTGCTTCATCTTTAGCATAAGTATGTTTTTGGTATTAGATAGGTAAAAGATACAGATGAGAAACTTAGCACACAACAAATCAAAGATATGCACCCTGACAGTTTACTAGTAAGAAAATGGCTTTTAAGATGTGTGACCATGTGTTTGATGTTAAATTGCTACATCACCTGTCACAGCTTGCCTATATCATCCTGATTTTTTTGTTTTAATCTTTTTATTTATTTGGTACAGAGTCTCACTGTGGCAACTTGGACTCAGTGACCCTTCTGTCTCAGCCTCCCCTGTGCTAGGATTACAGGTGTGCACCACCACACCCAGTCTCAGTGTTCAGCGTGCCTGGAGGCTGGGCTGGCGTGGCCATCATCTTGATGTTGAAAGGCCTAGCACGTGTCTTCTTGGCCAGAGTAGCTGATGTACTAGTGAATCATGTGGGATATAACCAGGTAAAATACATTTGGGCTAGAGATGAATCTGGCAATGTGTCCTTAAGGTTTACAACCTGAGTCCCCCCAATGGGACCCCTCCAGGCTGGATATCTGAGATCAGGTGCTGCAGTGTGTCCTGGTTTTCTCTTTCTTGCTGAAACCATATGACTTTGTTCACCAACCCTCTGTTGATGAATTCTCTCCTATATTCTGCTTGTTCTCCTGTTTTCAAAAGCACTTAGTCAGATTGGACCCTGACGCTTTTGTATCTATCACCTTTGTAAAGGCCCTCCCTAAGCATAGTCTTACTCTGCAGGGTAGATCAGGGATTTTTTTAAATTTTTTTGTGGTACTGGGGATTGAACTCAGGATCTTGCACTTGCCAGGCAAATGCTTATTTTACTGAGCCATCTCCCTGACAAGATCAGGGATTGAAACTGAATTTTAGGGAGGCAGAAGGGTACAGTTAGCTCGTACGAGTTAAAATCCTGTCTTCCTGACACTGGTTGCTCAGTTTATGTGTGGAGAGCATGCAGGGCTGCGTCTGATTCTGAGGAGGTGCTTTGGGCCCAAAAAGATGAAAGTCAGATGATCTGAAAGAATCTGATGTGAATTTGTTTGCTGAAGTGGCTGAGCTGTGCCACGGATCTGTGCACAGGAGCCCCTAGTCATCTTATGAAAGTGTAGGTTTATTCATGCAATGTGGGCTGGAGTGGGTGATATGTAGTTTATTGAATCCAGAGCCTCATACTTGCTGCAAATGGATTCCACTGTAGAGCTCCACCCCTACTTACAATTTGTCGTTTTATTGTGTTGCATTCTGGGTAACTGAAGTGCTGCCAGACTTGGAGCTGTGTTTGGAGCAGCAAGACATGGCTGCACTCAAGCCTTCCTCTTGGCACTGTGAATGTGCCGCAGATGCTGCCATTGCCAGTTGGGTGTGGGCAGTGATCCTGGGCAAAAGGAGGCCTGGTGTCTGCCTGGACCAAAGGTTGCTTTCCGCGCTGATGGGTTAATGCAATCCAACACAGGCTGCAGACTGAAGGGCCAGGGATCTGCAGTGGCCATGTGACTTTGTTCATCCCTCTGTTGATGGACTTTCTCCTATATTCTTCTTGTTCTGCTGTTTCCAGATACCACATGGATGTGATATTTCCCATTTCTCCTAACCCTGTAGGAGAAATCTTTGCAGATGAATTGCAAGGTCACATTTGTAATTTAGATAATTTTTTTTTCTTGGACACTAATATTCCTAAAAGCTTTATTTGTAGTAACCCAAAACTGGAAAAAACTCCAATGTGTGTTGAAGTTAATTGGTTCATGGGTAAGCAAATGTTGGTTTTATCTGTCTAGACAGGTAATTTCTGAGGAGTAATACCTATCCTTCCAGAGTGTAAAACTGCCTCTTGGGGGTGAGATGTGGATCAGAGATAGTGCTTGCCCTACATGTATAAGACCCTGGATTCAGTTCTCAGTGCTGCAAACATGACAGAAATAAAGTTAGAAAATGCATTTTTCTCCTCATGGACCACCTAATCAAAACCTTATCAAATCATACAGTTTTAGGCAGTTGATAGAAGAAAAGTGATACCTTCTACTTGACTTTTTAAGAATGAGGTTGGCCAGCCTTTCTGTAGAACTAAGAATTGTGTGTACTTCGTGAGCTTTCATTACATTTTTTATTTGGGAGTGGTACCTTTTTTACTGATTTTAGGGACCCTCTGTGTGTTAGCTAATTTCTCAGTTTTCTATCACTGTAACTGTTAGATAAGCACCCTCAACAAGGAAGGCTTATCTTGGCTCACAGTTTCAGAGGTCGCTGGTCACCTGGCACTATTACTTTTGGATCAGTGCTGAAGCAGAACCTCTTGGGAGGAGTGTAGGAGACACTTCCTGGACCTCGTCTCAGTCCAAGAAGCCAATATTTATAATCCCAAAGTTACGTTATTGGAATCCCATCAAGTTGATTCCAATCTACCACTTAGAATGCTACCCACGGCGAAAGTAAAGACACTAAATTATATTTTCAATCATCGGGGAGTCAAGGGGCTCTAAGTCCAGCCACGAAGATGGCTTTCCGGAACCAAGAGAGCGACCCAGGGCCTCACCCTGTTTTTATTCAGTGGGGGAGTGGCTTGAGGATTGACTGAGAATTGTGGGAAATAGGTGATCATTGTGAGCTGAGCTAGGTGGGTGGCCTACATTTACCTAAGGCCAATTGATAAACAGAAGTCCTATCCAGGTCTGTACATAGGAAATAGGGTCAGGCTCAGTCAAAATGGAGACAGTCACTCTTCTTTCAAGAAGAGCTGCTCAGGTGGTATTCCACAGAGGCGTGTGTGGCAGAGCTTGGCCTCTTACTGTATGGCAGCCAGGAAGCAGAGAGAGGAACCAGGCCTGCAGGGTCCCCTTCAAGGGCACTCCTGATCTGATTACCCTGTTGCACTCCACCCACTAAGGATTCTGCCATGACCCTGCAGCAACACAGGCTGGGAACCAGACCTTCTCAGTGTGGTCTGCGGGGATATTTATGACCCAGAATGGGACAAATCTGTGATTCACATACTGACAAGATTCAGGCTTCTTGTGGGACCTTCCATTCAAGGTTCTCTCTGAGCTTTGGTTAGTTAGTAAGTTAGGTCATGGAAGTTAACAATTCCTCAAATCTGCGTGGGTCCCCCTGGAGAATAGGTAGATGACCTACCACACTGATTTTTCCATTTTTCTCCTTTGATTTTGCTTAATACAAAAAATTGAAAATCATGGAAGAATATAAGGTGAGATCCAAAAATGTACCCTGGATTTCCCCACCCAGTGATCCTGTTCATGAGTACTGGGTATACCCTCCAGGTTTCCCTGCAGCATCTTGCGTGTGGGGGTTGCCCTGTGTGCACCAGTTTGTCTCCTGTCTCCTCACTCCTGGACAATTTGCCACAGGAGGGATTGCTGGTAACAGTAGTGCTCAAGACCACCTGACTCCACCTGCATGTTTGGACTCCCTGGGCCCCCTTTGGTCTACTCATTCATAAGATGGAATTGCAAAACTCACCTAGAGCTGTTGTCCTGAGGTCACAGAGAATGGTTAAGGGATGCACATCTGTCCCCTGGGAAGGAACTGCCTAGGCATTGTCCAGGAGTATTCCAGGTTCCAAATCACCATGTTAGATCATGGGAGG